CTTTCAATTTGGGACAGTTTTTTGATTGGTTACTCCCCAAAAACACAAGGCATTATTGGGATGTGAAAGTTGATAATAGAGAAGATGTAAACAACTAGTTTATAACTGTGTTCAAAAACCATAGTGCTTTTCTTAGAATGCAAACGTGCTGCATTGTGGTCTCATTTTTGTACAATCATCTTTTGTTTGTTATGCCTTTTTTGCCATTCCGAGGTTGAAGAAAACCTAGGTTGAGTTGCAGTGCATTGTGGGATTGTTTTCAGGGAACATTTCCAAGATAGCGTAAAAGCCCAACAATGCACTGCACTGCCAAATTGACCTAGGCTTTTGGTTAGTACTTCCTAAGCTTCATATTTTTACGTACATCTCCATAATTATTGCTATTTCAGTTGTCAAACTTACGTGTAATCATCCTATAATTCAGCTGTGGGCTGCAAAAGGAGTGATTAAACAATATTATTTGTTATATTATTACTTCTTAAGGTCGTCGGCCTCAGGGAAGAAGAGGTGGTTATAGAGGTCCCAGACGTGATTCCAAACCTAAAGAATTTGAAGATGAATATGATTTTGAAAGTGCGAATGCCAAGTTTCATAAAGAAGAAATGGAAGAAGAATGGCATAAAAAACTTGGACCTGCTTTGACACTAACTGATGATGTAAGTAACATAAGTAAAATAAGTCAAAAGAAAAGATTATCATCGTCAGCATCTAGGGAGGAACATGAGGCATCAAAACATGTTTTAATTGGCTTCTAAGTCTTGTTTGTTTGTTGGCTTAAATGTTAATGTTTGTGGATTTCAAAGACAGACTTTTGTGTTGATGTTTTAGCCAACAAAAACGCAATGTCATCAGGGTTTTCGTGCTACTCCTTTAAACTCCTTGAAAACTCCTTGAATTTAATTCACGTTTTCAAGGGCACTTGAAAAGCTCTTGAATTTTATGATTTTAGCGAATCTCCTTGAAAACTCCTTGAATTTTTGCTTTGATCATTACTTGCATGGTTCTGAAATAGATCTAGCCAGAAAGATTGAAAAWTCTGAAAGTCGGCCATGTGCAACCTCCGTGGAAAACCGTGGCATATTTAGCAGAACATACTCCTTGGAATTTGGGTCCTTGATGCTCCTCGAATAGTCCTTGAATTTTAAGTGGTTACCTCAGCACGAGCACTGTGTCATCATATTTCCTTAACTATAGTGTACTCAGACAAGTATTGATGTTGGTTTCTGCAGGTCGAAGTAGAAGGAGAAGAACAGAATGCAGCACAATCACCAGAACCTACACGTTACTATGACAAGGGGTCTTCATTTTTTGACTCCATTTCCTGTGAGGCAAAAGATAGGGACAAAAACAGAAGGTAAGATTGATGTTACTTTTTACTAGCATTATCGTTGAGGTGCGACCCTTGGAGTTTGATGTCTTATTTGTCGCAACAAGGGCACTAGGACACCGAATGTGGTTGGATTTCTATAGGTTTTTTTCCCCTTTCGATTATTTGAATTAAATCAACGTTATACTTGTTTACTTATCTTGTGTCCGTGTTCCTTCCTCCGCTGTTATAATGCAGATGTTTTCATTCCAAAGGTCAAACGGTTTGAATAGTCTATGAGCGTTACTTCTTTAACGGCCGTTCCGTACTTGACTCTGTTTGTACTATACCAACAACAACGCGACCGCATGATGCTCCTTACGTCAGTAATTACTGACGTAAGGAGCATCGCGCGGTCACGTTATTGTATCCTTATTTTACGAGGATATCACTTTAAAGTCACTGCCTAACAAACTTGTGGCCATCATTCTGTGATTGAATTAGAATATAGATCAATTTTGGGGGAGGGAGGGGCCAAAGGATGTGGAGAAAACCCTTAAAGGATAGAAGAGAGCTGACAAGCAGCTTTACTCACATATGATGCTGAGAAGGATCGAAACCCAAGACCACAGCAGCAAATGGTAGTGCATTAAGCAGTGCACTCCTGTGCTTCCCTTAGAGGATTAATAGTTGCTTATGTAATATGTAGGTAAATATGAATGTATTGTATTGAAGAGATGATGAATGAGAATGCCGAATAAGAATGTATCTTTTTTTGAATATACTTTTTGTAGATCTCACCCTTCCTGGTCTGAAGAAAGAAAACTAAATACTGAAACATTTGGTCATTTCGGTGCACGTCGTGGAAGAGGAGGCTTCAGAGGACGTGGGCGTGGAGGTAGAGGTCGTGGTAACAGAGGTGGATATAGAGGCCGTGGTGGTTCGCGTGGAGGAAGAGGAGGAAGAGGTGGTGGTAGAGGTGGGGAACACTCTGGCTGGGTCGATTATCCTCTGGATGCAGATGCATCAAAATTTCAACAGAATCTACCAAGTGGAACAACAGTAAGAATCAAATCTTAAGTATAATGATAAAAAGGTATATTATACACTGTATTACTCCGACGAAGGACTAGCGCCCGAAACGACAGTAAGTTTTTTCATTTTTTCACGTTGTATAATTTACCTTTTTATCATTGCTGTTTCATTAGAAACACTGACGCAGCTCACACTAGTTTTTAGCTAGTTATCTCTTAAGTATAATGTGTGCTAATAACGACAGCTGATCCAGGGCCTAAAATAACAGCTGGAATTGGGACTTTTCTGGTCAAATCTTTGCCTTGCTGGTCCTTTTGACCAGTAACATTTAACCAGAATAAGGTATTACTAAGCTAAAACTAATTTGGTCTGTGATCATGAAAGCTAAAAGCCTGATGATCAGTTTTTGCAACTAATTATAATGATTGACCAAATTAGTTTCAGCTTGGTCATACCTCATTTCTGGCTTCACTTTACTAGGGCTAAAATTAACGGCTGGTCAGTTGAGAGAAATGACGACTGTCCAAACAGATTTAGGTTTGACATCAATGGTCAATCATTATTGACGGAGCAATAGTATATTTTGTAAATATTTTGGTGATTTTAGCTGTTGCTGTTTTGTATTTAAAAGGAAGGTATCAAGATGATGGTAATCCCAGTTTGGCTTGAAGCCATGTTAGATTCATTACGTCCTAAACCCGCAAATTGAAATTAAAGGATCTTAATGAAAAAATGATTAAAATAACTAAATTGCATATTTTTCAGAACATTAATCAGACAAATAAGCTGTTTCATGAGCAATGTTTAAATAAGCTTGATTGTTTTTCTTTTGAAGGAAAAAAAAACGGTTTGAATTTATACCAGAAGTCAGAATATTTGCAGCATGTGCATGTCTGACAACCTAGTATCTGGGTCTTCTGGTTTGTGTGTTACCAGAGCCTTTAAGATTTTGCTGAGAAGGGTCTGGGTAGGAAAAGGGTTTGCCATATGAGTAAAGCAGTGTATGTAATGGGCCCAAAACTTCACAAGGTTCTTGCTACTCCTTAAACTCCTTGAAAACTCCTTGAATTTAATTCACGTTTTCAAGGGCACTTGAAAAGCTCTTGAATTTTATGATCTTAGTGAAACTCCTTGAATTTGTGCTAGTCTATCTAGTCAGAAAGATTGGAAAATCTAAAAGTTGGACATGTGCAACCACCATGTAAAACCTTGGCATATTTAGCTGAACATACAGCCTGTACCCCTTAAAAATTCATTTTTGGGTCGTCGTATACTCCTTGAATAGTCATTGAATTTTAAGTGGTTACCTCAGCACCAACCCTGACTTCAAGATTGTTAATAATTTCTAAATCTTTTATTACCATTCATTTTTTTATTATTTCTCTTTCCAGCCATCAAGCCAAAATCAACCAACAGCACAGGCATAACCAGGGCTAAATGATAATATCACTACTTTACTCAGTCTGACTGCACTCTAAATGTCCTTAATCTCTAATGACCAAGTGGTTAGACTGCTTAATAATTGTTACAGATAATATTTTCATAGCTCCTGTTGCAGTTAGCTTGTAGTTATATTGTTTTTTCTTTGGAAAAATGGTTTTTCAATTCAGCAAATTCTCTATGTACAGTCTATTTTCTAAAACAACGAACCTTTTCAAAGGGAACAGTTAATAACTAAGTATTATTATATTGTCATAGATAATAATTTATGGTAGAGTGGCTTAACTTAACATGTGAAATAGTTAGTCTATAGAGGTTAGTGTAAATCTATTACACATTAACTGATACTAGGGACTTTAAGATTTGCAAAATCTGTGTCGGCAATGTCAACAGGAAGTTAAATGACTTCACTCTGGGGTTTCAGGTCTTTAAAATCGGTCTTCCCTTAGTTGACTTTACTGACAATGTTTTGAATGAAATCTCTAATGAACAGAACCCCAAAGAAAAATTATTTATACTTCCAGTTGATGTCGCTGTCGTTGATTTTGCAAATCTTAAAGTCCCTACTATGACTATGGATGTCACCTCCATACATCTACGACCCAAACATCAACTTTTAGTCAGAGATTCAGAAATGCGAAAAGGAATGCAGACTAAAAGGTTGATATTTGTTGGCAGAGTAGATTTACGAAGGGGTGACAAAGCCATGTTTTTCTGGTGTGAAAACCCAGATCGGTGACATCTGTTTACTATTTACTCATGGTAATCAACCTGTAGAGTAAAGTCATTTAACCCTTGAAATAGATATTAGACTAATACACATTAGTAGACCCTAATTCTATTGTTTTATTACGTGTCTATTTGACTATTACACGTTGACACGTTTTTTTTTTCACGGGTTAAATGCCTTCATTCTAAGAGAAAAATTAGAAAGGTTTTCACTAACCCATGAAACAAAATGTACTTATCTGAGTTTGATAAGTCAGATTAACACAGAAAACAAAAGAAGAATGCTGTAGTGCTAAAATTAATACACTAACATTTATTTTATTCAGTTCACTAATTGTAATTAGCCTACAAACTATTTCACAGTTAAAGTATAACCACTCCAAAGTTGATAATGAAATAATAATGGTATATAAAGATTATGTCATAAGGATTATTTGGAATATTGTTCATGGTGGTGCGATATCGCATGTTATGATGAAATGAAATGTAATCTTTCCAGCGTTAACTGTAAGTACCATAAAGCACCAGAAATTTCTCAATAAATAAACTGAGAAAATTCTCGAAGGAAGGCTGTCAGAATATCATGGTTAATTAGATGTATTGCGATCCCAATACAATGAGTAGATGGGCATTGTTTTTACGGTACTGTTTATATCATGCAAGTGTTTGGCTATTGTAACTGGGAAAATGAATAAGGGATGTTACTACCATTATTATTCAGGTGCGACCCGTGAAGTTTGTCTCATTTGTTGACTAGCAATTTAAGGACTGTCAAACAAGACATTGAACTTCATGGGATTCACTTCAACGATAATGGTAGTAAACATGCTTATTTGAAAGATGGCATCCCATAAAACAGTCTTATTGAAACATTGTATTCTTCATACTTGTTTTCTCAAATTATTTCAAGATCACTCCACGTACAATAACAGTTAATGATTCTTTAGGCCTGGTTCTCACTAGCAATGCAATTGGACATAAACTCCACTTGCTATGAAAAGAAGTGGTGCAAGAGAACGTAATATTGTTTTTCTTGGCTTGTGCTTATGCTCGTGTCGGCTTTTGTCGCTAGGAAAACCAGGCTATAAACTATATTTATTCTGTCTTATTTACTCTAGTTTATGCCTTTTAGAGTACAAACACTATAAGTGTGTAACATAAATACCACTGAATGCTGCAAAATTATGCTAATCCTATTGTTTTCTATTGTTTAATTAGCACTATTTACTACTAAATAGTGCAAAGTGTTGCACTTTTTTAGTGTTTGTACTCTAATGATCATGGTAGGGACTGGCTTTGTTCTTTAGCTGTATACGTAGCACTTCAACTGCCACTTTGTCAATCACTCATGGGTATGGTTTACATGCTTGTTAAGGTGGCCCTACATTTGTGTTACCATAGTGATCGCCTGCTTGGACTTCTCCACTTAACATCATTATAGCACCCATTTTCTAAAAAATCCATATGGTTAAAAAAAATGCTTTGCGTCTGCTAGATATTTGTACAATTGAAATTCTTTTAATTGTCTTTATTTAATGTAAACACCAAATATTGTTATATTGACAACATGATAAATAATTGAGAGGCAGAAAATTGCTTATCACTTAGAATATCACATCATTACATTGTCAAAATTATACTTGCAGACTGCTTAATAAATAAATTTGATGAAATGAAAAGTTTTTGTATATTGTAAATGTACAGTATTTTTAACTCGTGGATATGCAAAGCGTAGAAACGAGTTATTGTGAGGGGTCTGATTATGCAAATGTGTCACTCACTATGATGTTAGCAGAAAGATAATAAGAGTATCGATCATTATAAAATAACTGTTATGAATCTTGCTTTCTGATTGGTTTAGAGCACGTGCTTTATGAGAGCACATTGCATGTGCACACTCTTTCCGTTGCGTCATTCCTATCTATTATTATAATTTGTATTTTATAAAAGAAATAAAAAACTTGCTTGCTGTGCTGTGTGCAGTCATAAAGCACTTGGGGGCTGGCAGAACACTCGAGAAGTGTCGAGAAGCACTCCCCTACGCGTCGTGCTTCTCCTAACACTTCTCTCGTGTTCTGCCAACCCCCGCGTGCTTTATGACAGCACGCGCGCGCGTTTTCTATTACTTCATCTTATGTCATCTGCTTACCACCGTTACACAACAACACGAGTGAAAAATGTCTGCGCATGCTCTGAATCTGTATGCAAATTAGTCAAAACATAAATAAATTTGCCTTTCACTCATGGCTGATAAATTGGACTTCAAAAAACTTCTTAATTCTAATTCTTTCATATTGTGTTTGTTAATGCAGTAGAGTCTATCTTGGTCTGACAAAAGTATACTCTCGAACCTTTTTGTATACTTGGAGAAAACAAACATTTTACTTTTCTCATGAGGGAATACAAATTTAAATAAGAAAAAAAAAAATCAGTATCAACTTCATCTTTATTTTATGGTTTTACCACAGATAGCCCAAGCTTGGTTTGTGTGGAGATTCTCTTATTTCTTACTGGTGGGGAAAAAAATCCTTAAACGGGCTAAATTCAAAAAATAACCACAGAGCGAAAGAAGTGTTATTTCTCAATGATCGGGTACAATTTCGAGGCTTTATTTCACGTTTCAATGATTTTATTGAAATTTTTGATGAATCCCCATACCTTTCCTTATAACATGACGCCACAGAAACCAAGCTTGGGCTACCTGTGGTTTTACTGCATGCACTCTAAGATCCATGATCTTCAAAAGCATTTGACAGAAGTGATGCATGGCTCTTCCCTCATGCATCGTGGGATCCCTGTCACCAATAACCTGTCCCATAAAAAAATGCACCTCACAATATTGGTGAACCTCTTGCCTTTATTATTCAACAATGATTTTGTGTTATTGAAGGTCATGATGTATGATGAGTCTACCAAGATATCCCCCCTCCCCCAAGGAGGTCTTCACAGGACTTAATACTTAAATCGTAAAAAGACCAACCAGGAATTTTAATCTCTTGCTGACAGTAAAAGGTTGTTCTCATGGCTGTATAAAGTTAAATCCTTGACTCGCCAATCATTTTTCAGTAGGGTTGCTTGTTGATTCTTTCATATACACCTATTTTTAAAAACGTTATTGCCAAAGGCGATAGGTGAATGAGCAATAGGAGATTGGACATTCCAAAACCCTAGAATAGATGGAATGACTTTCTGCTGATTCTTCTTTCTGCTTCTGCTTCTTATTCTAGTCAAGAACATGTCCTTTGGCGATGACAACGTTTTGTCAGTGGGTTCTTATTTAACATCATTTGAAGCAGATAATGAAACTGAAAGAATTTTATCAGCCGAGTGAAACCCACCAATAGGAGAAGTGTTACTTTTGTGTATGGACCACTTAAAGAGTTTAAACATTTCCCCCCCAAAAAAAACAATCTAAAACTTGGCTTATTCAACCAATTAGGAAACCTGAGATCTGTAGAAAAGTATGTGGATCACAGGAGAGAACCAACAATTTCTCAAATGTGAAAAGGGCACAGGCACTGAACCCTGGGGTGAGAGGTGGTGCAACACATAACACCCCTGGGGAGGGGGGGGTACTCCAATATATAGACTATACAGGGATGATCTGCTGAACAGGATATGGTTTTTCAAGCTTCTTGTCATAAACAGGGTATACAATTTCACTCAAGTTCCAAGTTCTTCCTGAGTTTCCTGTCATATTCAGGGTTTCTACTTTCGTATTGACCAAAACTGGTTATTATGGTTGTAAAAAAAACGATACACAAGATGACATGATAATATTGAAACGGGAACTCAGTGCAATTAATCATCTCTTTTATCATAAACAGGTTTTACAAATTTGAGTTTTTTTGTCATAAACAGGGGTACCCCTTTCAGAATACCAGCTGAACACCCCTACCCAAATTCTGGCAGAGTACCCCCTCCCCCCCAGGATAACACCTATGTTCCCACATTATTAAGGCACTACCACACTTTCCTTAAAATTCATTTCCAGCTAAAAATAGTTACGTTTCTACTTCCCCCTAAAAATCCCAAATCTACCCAACCTTTGCTTTAGAAGGTTGAGTTGGCACTGCAGTACATATTTCAAAGATGGCATCTATTTGTCCCCCAAAACATTCCCATGATGCACTGCAATGCCAACTCAACCCAGATGTCATTCTACCTTGGAATGCTTAATTGGTTTTCCTGACTATCAAAACGAATCTAAAAAATAATGTTATTCCAAATAGCACTTTAAACTGCTTCACCTCTTCACCAGGGGCAGATCCAGGTATTTTAGAAAGGGGATGACTATTAGAAAGGTTTTACCAGGAATTCGAGAAAAAAGGGGGGTGACTGTTACTAACAATATACTGAGAAATTTGAGCAAAAGGGGGATGACTAGTCACCTATATTACCACCCCTGGATCTGTCCCTACTTCACCATATTGATTGGCAGTGGCACATATATATACCTTTACATGTTAATTAATGCTTATTGTTCTGACGTCTTATAAATATATCAATCTATATTCTATGTAGTCTAGGTGGCTTTGTAAAATAAAATAAGTATTTGAGCCAACCTTAGAAAGTATAGGAAATCCCACAATTTTGAGTACAATTCAGAATTTATAGGTACGAGTGATGTTTTGAGAGTTTTCAAAATTGGATGTACCCTTAGGCGCGTCCAATTTGAGAACTTCCAAAATATCAAGTGTATCAATAAATTGAAATTGTATGAGAGCATTGTGCGATTTTTTGTTAATGATACACTCGACAAAGTTGGTCAGCCTAATTGGGACTCAACAGAGTACAATTTGGGATTTAATTGTACTCCTCTCGACGGTCCAATCAGAATCAAGTAATTTTGTTGAGTGTATAATAAGTTCTATTACTCACATTGGTAAAGTATAAATGTTGGATATAAATTAAAGTTTACTACGTTGTTCTCTGACAAGAATAAGACTCCTTTACACAGGAGGTTGACCCATGGGTGATTGTACCATTGGTGAATGTGCCATAGGGGACTGCATGGGTGTCTGTCCCATCGCAGGACCCATAGGTGTCTGTCCCATGGGCACCTGCCCTCGTCCCATCTGTGACTGTCCCATCATCATCTGTCCTTGTTGTGGGTACGGCATGTGTGATAGTGTCTGCTGCTGCGGTGGTGGTCGGTAAGGGTTATATCTTTGTTGCTGGTGTTGATATCCTTGCATCATGTTGTTGGTGGTCGGGGGTTGGCCGTAGTTGGCTTGACTGGCTGATGAAATTGGCTGTTGTGGGGGTGGAGTCTGGTTTGTTAACAAAGAGTACTTTAATCAGTTAACATAATCCTAATAATGATAATAATAGTAATAATAATAATTTTAAAAAAAATAATAATAATAATTAATACTGATAATTTTAATAATGATTAAATAATAATAATTTAAAATAGAAATAGAAATACAATCGCTCCAAAGCTACTAAAGTTCCAATGCCTAATATTTTAAGATAATGATAAACAAAAATAAAATGAAAAACTATAGGATTTAAAGTTCATAATCTCAATGCCATTATAATAATTTTTATAATAGAATTCAATTAACTATTAATAATGATAATAAAATTTATGATAACGTTAATAAAGAGATTATGAATATAAAATAACAAATATATGTACAAATTACTTATTTATCGATAAAAACATAATTTAATTTAATTGGCTATCAGTTTACAGCGCCAATCTGATTACAGCGCACAGATCTGATTACAGCTTATGCAATAGGAAACCGATCACAACACAGGAAACCCACAAAGAGCAAAGTTAATTTTCTAAAAGAATCAAAAAATATATAGCCGGGTTCCCTGTGTTATTTTATACAATTTAATACATGTCTAATTACCAATTATTCTCTTAAAATAAGAAATAAAATTTTGTCCTCATTTTTTGAGCCAGGGTAGCACTTAAACCCCCTCCCAGTCAGCTCAGTTAATAGGGTACCAAGGTGCGCGGTGCGTTAGGACATAGATTCAAGCCTCCACTGCTGGACCAACACTCAGGGTCTTAACATATTTGAGTAGAAGGTACTGCATTTGCTCTTAAAACATCTGCAGATGGTTGGACTTTTGTTATGGCTCAGATGAGCATGTAAAATGGCATTCCCATTTCAGTGACTCATATAGCCGTTATTTTAAACCCTGGCTGTGATACTGGTGAGTGTAGCAAGGAGTTATAGTGCAACTACAACTGTAACAGTGGCCACTTAATTAGACCAGTTAGTCAAGAGAACCAATTAAAATCTAGAATAAAAACAATGCACTCCAGCTTTGGGTAGTGGTGTGAATAATGAAGCTAGACTGCACGATAATAGCAATTTGACCCTGATGTTAGATCGCTATTATCATTTTCTCGTGGGAATAAAATGATATTTTGAAAAGCTATTGCTTTCTGCTGCTTTCTGGTTGGCTCCACTACCCAAAGTTGGAATGTATTGTTTTTATTCTATGCTTTGATTGGTTCTCGGCATCTAAGTGGCCCCGGCTATAGTAGTTGCACTGTAATAAATAGTATCACATCCATGATATAATAATGCATACCTGTTGTGAGGTCGCTTGCTGATACTGCATCTGTCTTTGTTGCATTAAGTACTGCTGCTGACTTTGTTGGCCCTGCGTCATCATGCGTTGCTGTGACATTTGACCTGGATGCCGTGCCATGGGGGACTGCTGAGGCATGTTCGGCATAGGCCCACTCATACCAGGTGGGCCACCTGTCATTATTTGTTGGTTGCTAGGCGATGGGTAACCCATGTTTACATTTTGTTGAGAGGAAGGTGGGTGTTGTAACTGTGGGGGTAGTTGTGGTGGCGATTGGGTAGCAGGTGGTCTGTAGGTACCCGAAACTGACCCAGGCGCAACCATTCCAGGGTATGTCTGACCAGCATTGCTCATTAGATCACTGCTTGATGATTGAATGTTCGGGGGTAGTGACGAGGACCCCATATCTCCCCCCATCATCGGTGGGCCTTGGGGATGTGCCGATGGTGGTGTTACTGAACTTGGTGGTTTTGGCATGCCTCCGCCTTGTGAAGAGCCCTGAGGAAAAATATGAATTTTAAAATAAGCTTCATTCCTAATGACTAATTTTGAATGGGGTTCGTGAAGAAGGTAGTTTTCTCCAATGTTTTTAAGAAAATAATTTCTCACATGTGTTGAGAGTTTGTTAAGTCTTTCATTTTGATTGCCACTCTTGATTCGAGGGTTTTAGTAATCTTCTTCCATTTTTTTTATCCTCTGAAAAATCTCAATGATTAATTTCAATTTGAACAGCAAGCTTGCTATGCCCAGACTTTAATCAGCCCAGTGGTTGTTTCAAAGGTCCGTTCTGTGAGTTGGGTGTGCCCTGACTTAGATCAACCCAGAGATTGTTTCAGGGTTCAATCTGTGAGTTATCCATGCCCTGACTTTGATCAGCCCAGAGGGTTTTTCAGGGTTTGATCTGAGTTACATTTGCCCTGACTTTGATCAGCCCAGAGGTTGTTCTAGGTATCAAATGGATAACATTTTAAGGCGAAGTTTAATCCTGATTCAGTCTAGACTTCTATCACTCTACTTACCTGTGAGCCCTGACTTGGTTGATTTGAGTCAGCAAGAGTAGCCAAGTAGACGAGGTTGCGATGTAACAACTGTTGATACCTGGAGAAATAATAATAACAACAAAAGATATTGACAATTTCACCTGTTACACAACAACCTAGTAAAACTAAGAATAAAACAATGCATTTGGATTGGCTAAAGAAAACGTAAACAACAAAACAATAAATATCTTTCTATCATTTCCCAATTTGCTTTTCTTTCACTGTTGTACGTATTAAGGAAGTTATGTTTGTTATTGGGGGAGGGCTAGGGGCTTCATCAGTCAAACTTTGACCTAGTAAAGGGCCAAACTTTTCATATTTTGACAAAGAATTTTCTAGATCACTTAATTTAATCTATTTCATTGTTATTCATTGAACTTTCACACTTACTTTAGCTATATTTACATATAGTACAGTTTACAGTTTTCATTACACCTGATGATGTTGTCGAGATGACAGCGAAACGTTGTCTTTTACAACTAGTTTTCTTATTAAATTAAAATACTTTGTGTAGTACTCCAGATTTGTCCAAAAGTCCTGAACGAACATGTCCTACAGTTTGTAAATGAAATCAGTCAATGGTCATACTTACTGAGTTGATTCATATGCTTTCCCTTTGTTTTGATAATCCACAATTGCCTGTTGTTATAAAAATGTAAGACCTCACATTACATTGTACAATGGAACGATAAATGAACCAACTTAATTTATATAATATGACAGTAATTCATTGCAACTATTAAACTTGTGATCCTCTATTGATGTTTCTAGCTTATTACTATTAAGACATGAATGTGGTCATCTAAGCCATCCAAAGGTCTAATCATTTGCAGATGCAATTACAAAGGCAGCACCTTCTCCTCAGTTATTTTAAGACCATGCGAGTGCTGATCCAGCCAAGGCTTAAACCACAGCCTCCTGCACAACACTCAGCCTGACAATCTTACCAACTGATCTATTAGTAAATACTTGGTGATTCCTCGTAGCATATTTATACCAGACTTATTACATTTACAGAAACAAATAAAATGTTCTTAGGTACCTGTATGAGTTGTGCATTCTCGTCAAGTAGCTTTTGAGGAAAAGAAAGAAAAGAAAAGACAATCAACAAAAGTAAAATTATTAGATAATAATAATACATTCATTAGAAACATTGCCGTGTTTATGAAATGTTTTGACAATCTGTGATGATGTAAACTTTGGTGACCCAGAGTTTTACTGTTCACAAAATCCTGCATTCTATTACATGTATGCAAGTATAAATTGGAATAGGACTCAAACAAAAATAGACTGTTGTAATGTAGTGTATGTAATATATACAATATGAGCGGCCGTGTTGTATCGACTATACAGTCACAAGCCAGAGGTGAGTGATTGTATGGCCGATACAACATGGATGCAAATGTTGTAAACAACTTGTGAAATTTTCTGTGAATAATTCATAACTTCTTTGGGACATTTTGAATTCATATGCTAATTAGATACAACCACTAGTGTTGTACCAGAACAGTATACATCCACTAGTGGTTGTATCTAATTAGCATTTTCATTGTAAGGTTTTTATCGGGTTTACATGATATTCATGTGACCTGATTTCTAAAGCTGGATTGGCTTAGGCCCTCATTAATTATTCATGAATTTTACAAGAAAACTTATAAGACAAATTATTGTTTAGTTATCATGATTAAATAATCCAGAATGGCACACACAATATAAATACATTAAATATAAAAAACATATAAATAAAAAATAAAACCGTTACCCTAATGAATTTTTTTTTCCTTTTACATGTATACCCTACTCAGTCTGTTTTGACACTGTTTTCAATCCTCAGGATCTCAACTTCGGACTCTTAAAACTTCAGTTAATGCGTTTTGTTATTCTATTTTCTGCTATTGTTTACCGACTTCAGAAGTGGGGCTGCACCCAAATACATTGGAGTTTTAAGAGTCGTCAATATCTCAATGAATGATGGAGTGGGCTTTTGCCGCTTTTGTTAATCGCTACTCGCTGCATGGTGTCAAAAAAAGACAGCGTAGGGCATAGAGGGAAAGGTTTTTCATCACATAATGGAAGTAAAATTTTACATTTTGGTGATTCCTGGTACTTTTAGTATTCAGTGTGTTTGTTGCAGATTCCCGATGTCATTCCAGATTCTGAATTTCAGGTAAAGTTATAGATCAACTCTGCTAATTATGGCTTTTGTTTTGAAGATCACATACACTCGTATAATACACTTTAGTTATATTAGACATAATTATATATTAAATTATATATTATTATTAAATATATATTAGACACATTATGATAATATGATATAATAAAAGCACGAAAAACACCTGTAAAGACTGAGGTGGCATTTATTTAACACAATACTCCTTTTTACAGTTCCATTCAGTGACCATGAATAATAGCTCCTAACCGAGGCTGGAGTTTCCGAACATAGCAAAACTACAGTTTATCATGTGCGGCAACTCCAGCCTCGGCTAGGAACTATTATTTGTGGTCATGCACTGAATGGAACTGTAAAAAACTGTAAAAAGGAGTATTGACTATGTATATAAGTAGAGCTAAGGAAGTATAGACCCTTTTACCTTGGGCGTAATGTTTTGCCCATTTCACACCATGTGTCATTTCCTAGAGTATCATTTCTTTGTTTAATGGTTGTGCATGAGTAGACACATGCATTAATGGCCACAACTCAAATGAAGAATTTTATTCTCAAGAGAATGACACGGTCTGAAAAGGATAAACATAACTAGATAAAAGATTGATTCCCAAGCTAAAATGTTCTATAAACGAGTAACTGAGTTTTTGAATACAAAACTATTAACTAAAAGACAACTTGTTCGTTCCTCAAATTATGGTACAAAGATCGTATAGCACTCTTTTTACTTCATTAATATACAAAGTAACTCATTAATTAACTCTCCACCGCGTGAAAACGATCTCTTAGAAATTGAGACCAACAATGGCACAAGACGTTCGCATCAAGGTACATAAAGAACAACCATCGTGAACATGATTTCAAGGCCAAGATGATCATCTGTCTACTACAATTATCATCTTTTACCCACAAATTAATCTTACAGATTTTCTTACCGCTTGTACAGATTGTGTGGTTGGATTCGATCGCCTCTCTGAGGAAAATGCCACAGACATACTTATGAAAACGTTCCCTTTAGATCGTAAAGTGAGTTTTTTTCATGCAAAAAGTAGAACAATAAAAAGTTTGCAGCTGCTGTCGATCGATCTGGCAGACGTTTGTGAATCCACGATATTTAGTGTCAGCGAAGAACTCGTTAGTCGTTCGGATCTTTATCGTTAGGTCTCGGAAAATTCAGATATTTTTCATATATATTTAATATTTCACAGTTTTGTTGAAGTTTTTGGGTTATTTTGTCCTCTCAAAGTCAAAAAACGTTTTTCAAATTCTTTTAAGTTATCAACTTTCTTCACTATGAAGTGCTGCTTTCAAACTCTTCATTGTCGACCTCACTAGGAAACCGGTTACATGTCAAATTCGGAACGACTTCGGAAGCTGTTCGTTTTTTCTCTTCAAAAACCCTCAATCAAACAGTTAGGTATCAAAGGCTACAAAATAATAAGTATTTCTTGATGCAGTACTTCATATTGCAAAATACTCTATCTCTTTTTTTTTTGTCTGTTGAAAATGGTAATCCGGAAGACTAATTTCGAAAAGAGCGGGAAAACGCGATATTTCAGTCCCAATAGTGACTCCCGTCCACAAAACAAAGAGTAAGCCTGGGTCAATGCAATAACCATTTTGCCAGTCCATAATCGTATATGGTTCTGTACTACTATATTGGTTCTTTTTTAGCCGTTTACAGAAAATCCAGACCATGAATCCAAACTTTGACACAATAGGAAAAGGATTCGTTGATACATACTATACTCTATTTGATACTAATCGATCGCAGCTACAGCCATTATATGTAAGCTTATTTAATGTCTATTCTGCCCTGCCTTCAATGTCGGTCTAGCTTCTCCAGCAAAAGTAAAACACTTGATTGCTTCTCTTTTTTTAGCGAGATCATTCTATGTTAACATTTGAAGGTCAGCAATTCCAGGGAGCAATCGCAATTACTCAAAAGTTGGTGGTATGTATGTGTGTGTGATTTAGGAAAATCAATTGAGCTTATCTTTTTGCACAAATTGTAAAAGAGTGCCAGCAACCATTGAAATTGTTCAATTTACAGGTAACCTGGCTTAGATTATTTTATATATTGTTATTATACCAGGCTGGCATAGCTGACATTCATAGCTGTCATGTTGGATGAATTTGAACAAGTGGTGTGTCCTTATAGTCTCTTTTGTTATGTCATCCAACATGGCTGTTGTGTCTTTTGTTATTATATTTTCTCTGGAAATGATTGCAAACAAACGATCTATTCAAATTGTACAAATTGCAGTGCTTCTCAATGACACAAAATCATACAATATTCTGTTGCAACAAAATATATTTTATGGACGTCAATCAAACTGTTTCCATTACATTGCATAGAAACATACGTGCATAGAAATGCCCTGAAATAACCTTGAGCAAAGCTTTATTAGTATAATATCCCAAGGGGAAGGGTGTGAGGAGTAGGAGATGAAAGGAAAATACCGGGACTGCAGCTTTAACACATCAAAACGTGTGTAAAATTTTGCATTGCCCAAGCGACGGAAAATTCTTATTGGTTGGTTAGACAAGGGATTGTGTTGACATAACTATAACTTTCCTGCCATTGAATTCTGGTTGATATTTTACAGTGTGTAGAACTTTGATGTTTTGCATGAAAATTGCATTAATTGTGCCATGAAACAGTGAACTAAAACTTAAGAGAAAGCTTATCTTCAAAAAAAATTTTACTGCTTGCTGTTATTTTCATTTTCAAAACATTGACCATTGGATGTAGTGTCCGTATGTAAATAATTATTTCCTGCTTTTTTCTTCTTTTTCTTTTGTTAATTGTTTGCATTTGTTTTAACTTTGTATGTATGCAGTTACAGAATATCATTTGTTTAATAAAAAATGTTTAAAAAAAACATTGACTAAGGGAAATACAGGTGCTGCTCTTAGGGCCCTTTCCATTAAGTCAAACCGACCATTCTGAGTGGCCATTTCTCATATGGTACACATCAGTTCTCATTAGTTTTTAGTACTCTGTCAACCAGTGCCATAGAACTGACGCGACTTAATGGAAAGTGCCTTTTAATGTCTGTAGTTGATTAACGATGGGGCAGCCATTAAGGTTATCTGAGGCACTTGAAGTAGAAATGATGTTTTTGCAAAACTGTGGTGTCATGAAGCCTGTGAAATAGGGCCTATGAAAAATATAAATCTGTCCACCATTCAAATAAAATATAAATTAACCCATTTAGTTATTGTATGAAGTCTATCAACTCTCTTGACGAGTTATTTTTTCATTTGGTGACCTGGAAATCCATAATTCTAAGAGGAAAATGGATACCTCAGTTTTGCAAAACATTTTCTCTCAGATCAGCTGGAAAGGCAGCACCTTCTAAGTTATTGTAAGACTCAGAGTGTACTGGTCAAGCTGAGGCTTGAACCATACATTCCTGCACAACAGACCAGTGGTCTTAGCAATAATTGAGCTAATTGGGTGGCAGTTAATATCATTTAACATGGTGTTTCTGTTTTTTAACTCTGACAGGCATTGCCATTTCAAGCAGTTAAACATGTGCTTACCACAGTGGACTGTCAACCAATTCCTAACAATGGTGTACTAGTGTTTGTGGTTGGCCAATTAAAGGTGGGTGCATGCATATATCAGTTACATTGCAGTCATCCAGCAATGTCCACCCAGAATTAGAGCACATCCAGTAAAACCATTTAATAAAAGCAAAGTTGATACTGACAAATAGTAACTATTTAGTGACTAATAGTTGCTATTACATGTACAACCAGAACAACCATTACACAAAGTCACAAATGGTCTCTTGTATATTTGTCTTTGCATGATGAATGTTCTGGTTGAGAGACAGCAACTATTAGTCAATAAATAGCTACTATTTGTCAGTATCAACTTTATTTCATGGTTTTACTGCATGCGCTCTAGCAACTAAGGTAACCAGCCATTCACTAGCACCAAGCAAGAAGACAAGATGTAATCCACTGTTTTCCCATTTCAGACCTTGCGTACATTCCCTAAAGTATTATTTCTTTATATGTTAAGTGTATGCTACATTGAGTGTATAAGCAGATTATTTCTTTGTTAAAACACTTGCACTTGAGAAAACACATGAATATGGATACAACTCAAATAAAGAATATTATTCTCAAGAGAGTGACACACGGTCTGAAATGGGCAAAACATTACGCCCATGTGGATTTGGTCCATTGGTACACTGTCACTAAGACATCACATACTATCACTATGTTAAGTACTTTTTACACACATTTCTCAACTCGAATCTATTTATTTTTTGCCTTCAAAAAACTCAATCCTCTAATGTCTGTTTTTCTTTTCTTTTTCTTTTCATAGAGTGATGACGACCATCCACATGGCTTCAGCCAAACATTTGTGTTATTTCCAGAAGATGAAGCTGCAACTAAATACTATGTGATGAATGATATCTTTAGACTTGCACTCCATCATGGGTAGGATGGGAATAGAATGCAGCAGAAAGATCATCTGGTTTGCTAATATAAACCTAGAATATTTTCGTGAATTGTACTAGAATTATTGACTGAGATGAAAAAGATGGCTTTTTCCAACTACGAGTGCTTATAAAAAAAGGGAAAAAAATACTTATAATTTGTAAACCTTCACCTAAAACAAAAAGAATTGCTGAAAAATCTTTCCAAACTTGCTTCCTAGTAATTGCCCTTCTCAAAAAGAACTTGGATGTTAGGCTAACATGAAAATACGAAAGAAGCAAATCACACTTTTTCTCTATGGAATTTGTGTATTTCAGGGTTGTGCTGCTTCTTGAAATCCTTGAAAAGTCCTGGAATTGAAACACATTTTCAAGTGCACTCGAAAAGCCCTTGAAAATAGCAACATTGTTACTTGATGCTCCTGGAATTCTCCTCGAAATTGCAAAGTATTTCGATAGTAAACGCTCTTGTAGCTCCAATAACGGCAAGGCGTTGGAAACTCAAGTGCTATTTCCCATTATCATGAGCCGTTATTACTGAGATTTAATCTTTTAAAGTCATTGTTAAAGTAACTCATTAAAATAATGCGGGTTTTTTTTTTGTCTCTATAAATTGTTAAGAAAAAAAATCACAAACAAAATGTTCCTTGAAAATCGTAATTTTGGGCCTTGAAAAGTCCTTAAAGAGTCCTTGATTTTTTTATTTATTATTATTATTTTTTTGTTCTGAGATGTATCACGAACCATGGATAGCGAAAGAGTACAATTTTTCATTGCAGTCAATAGTTCTAGTTACAAGTGGAAGTACTTCATGGAAGGCTGCATTTAAGATCCTCACATGTTAGATGCTTGTTTTCTCTTGTTTTCTATTGACTCATTTTCTAATGCATTATTGGTAAACTCCCATGGAGTATTAATCCTGATAGTCTATTGGAAGTACTTTGTCTGTTTGTGTTTCAAGTAACTTGCACATGAATACTACAGCATAACATAATTTCTTCTGTTTACAGTATTTTTTTTAAAGAAATAAGATATTTGAAATTGTAAGCGAAGATCAGGGTACTCTGGTAGATGTAATTCCTATGTAATAACCAAACAGATTTAGTTAGAAATAAAAGGCTTTGAAAGTGTTGGAAAATCATCATTGGGCTACCTGTGTAAATCTGACACAGCAAGCCCAAGCATAAAATTAAAAATAGTTCACTTGAGTGACAAGGTAAAACAATGCCACGAAGTCGAGGTTGTACTTCATAAGATACAGTAAATGACTTGAAGCTATCATTTCGTGGTCGATCAAGCGAATTCTGGAGAGAATCCTATTTATCCAGCGCAACTTCGGCTAACCGATAAATTATTTTTGTATTTCCAGAGAAAACATTTTTTCTCACTAAAACGATCTTGAATTATTGGAAAACGTGCTGAAATGCACGCATGCGCAAACGCTTTTCTCTGGTGTCGCTCGTAGCCCAACATCTGGACTTAACACCCTATTTCATAATGATGTCACGGTTTGTTTACATCGGTTAAAATGATAGAAATTTAGGCTAAATTTAAGCTTAATTCTCTTCTTTCGAGATATTTAGCGTAATATTTAGTTGTTCTTGCCTTCAACAGCTCATAATCCAAATTTTATTGTGAATTAAGATGTGTTGTTGTCATTCCATCCCCATCCATCGACCATGATCCCTAGCGTTAAAACAATAGTTTGTTTTGATGTGACTTCATTATAAAATAGGGCAATTCCATTCGACCATATCGTGGGGAATAGCAGTTGAAACATTAATATTGACAAGGATTGCAAAAGTTTTTTATGACAGAGGATTATAAATTAACTACTGCGTATGGGATTCCTGTGTGATGGATAATATTAGAATCGCAATGAAGAAGGGAGGATTCCAGGTACCATGTATCACCCCGCTCCCTAATGTTTTTCTGTATTTTCCAAATAGTGGGCTACCTGTGCGTGAATCCCTCTCCCCGATCTTGGATGGAGGCCGTGTCTGCTTCAAAACCATTTGCATGAAGATTGACAGCCTTGACCCTGGAGCGGAATTGACCTTTCGCTTTAATGAAAAGGAAACAATGGCCCCAAGTCGAGGTTGCTTGCTGTTACAAACGCAAGTTGGCATGCGCCCAGTAAAAGTTGGGTTTGCCGAGACGCGTAGTGTGCACACACATATCTGCATTGCACGAACTTGGAGCCTTTGAAGTTCATTGTTTTATTTTTTTGCTGAGGCTTTGACCTGAACAATTTTACATGGTAACTGGAACTTTATCGACTGATTCATCTCATAATTAATTTCATCTCATGATCATAATACAAATATTGTTACTTCGATAAACATTGATTCATCTCCGTTTGACCTCATGATAAAACCAAGTTACAATACCGTATTCGGATATAAGTGAGTAGTGTGCTACAGGAATCATCTAATTGTCTTATACGGGAGCTTATACGGTCTTTTGCCAAAACTACTTCTTTTTCTTTCAGAAACATACTTAGGCTTTCCTCGAGTCAGAATCCCTCGTTTGAAGTCTGTATTCTAATTAGAAAGCAGAATAAATAGCATTAGCAATCGAAATCCTTTCATTAGATGCTACCTTTAGCATCACAATATATCATAATTTAGGTGTACACTCGTAATCAACGACACAGTTGTTCAGGAACATGCAGTCATCGCCCTTCACTGCAATCACACTTCAAAGATCTCATATTTTTACATCAAACTAATAGCACTATAAGTCAGTAGAGTGCATACCAAGGTTGCATACCATATACCCGTGAAAACCTTTTTAAAATGTACTAATTATGTCCAAATTATTGTAACTTCAGTACTGACCTTTGTATACTGTAGACCTACAAAACTTTGCACTGTTAAATTTGTACAATTTTTAGTTAACTTTTTCGCGGATAAATGGTATGCACTCTAGTGAATTATTAACTGATCGGGCGGGATTACTTGCAATATATATCAAATGTTGTGAAAACCATAAAAAACCATCATACATTGTGCTCATCACGTGATGCTCATGCCGCCAAATAATTTATTTATACTTATGTTGCGCGCGCAAGTATTCGTATGTTGGACTGTTTGTTTCTGGGTTTTTTTCACCTAGTTACTGTGTTCTATGTCTTTTGAATTTAACTCGCGCTCTATTATTATTTTTCAATACCCTGATGATGGAGAATTATCTCCGAAAGCTTGGTTCAAGAAAAAAGTATTACTGTACTTTGGTTGATACAAAACATCTATAATTTCTTGATAGTTCTGTTCATATAGCATTCTTATGGTAGAAATGTATTTATCAGCAGCGGTCTTTCAAAAAGTGCTCAGTGTTGTTCTTTCAGGAATAATTAAATCCTATATCTTGCCAGGAATTAAATGGCAAACACGTAACGACTTCGGTAACCCATACAGTTTCAGGGCCGTATCTATTATTTGGAAAGCTAGTGGCCCACTTATTAAAAAAATTGATCCGATGTTTTTGTATATTATCATTATTTACTTGTGCAATAAATCTTTCTTTTCGAGGGGAAAAATAGTATAATAGTCTGACGGTAAATAGGGAGCTTCAGGTTAAATACGGACCAACTGTAATGGTGGCTATACGGAAGGCCGAAGTATATCCTTACAGACTAAAAATAAGAAGTCGCATAAATTTTAAAATAGCTGTCGCAATTTGAGGCTGTCTTAAGGTTGCCATGACTGGTGATGTGAAAACCAAAGGAATTCTAACCTCGAGATCTGGACTGATCTAAATCAGGGCATGGCTAACTCACAGATCAAACACTGAAACAACCTTTGGGCTGATCTAAGTCAGGGCATGGCTAACTCACAAATTGAACCCTGAAACAACCTCTGGGCTGATCTAAGTCAGGGCATGGTTAACTCACTTATCGAACCCTGAAACAACCTCTGGGCTGATCTAAGTTAGGGCATCGTTAACTCACTTATCGAACCCTAAAACAACCTCTGGGCTGATCTAAGTTAGGGCACGGCTAACTCACATATCGAACCCTGGAACAACTTCTGGTTTGATCTGAGAGGGCACGGCTAACTCACAGATCGAATTGCATGGCGGAACTAATGAAGTTTTGCGAACCCCTCGACCCTAGGTTAGTTTTGCACAAAGGGCAGAACGCTACCCAAAAGCTTCATTATAAAAAAGTGCAAATTGCTTAGTGCTCTAGTGCTTCCAGTAAACAAGCAACACTCAACTCGCATGTACCATGGTTTTTATCCCTAAAAAATATCGAAAAATCTGGCGAAAAATTTTCAGAAGCAAGAGCTATGCAGAGATCATAGAGAAGCTCTCCAAACTCAATTCCCTCAATTCGCTCACGTGGCTTTACTTCGTGGCCAGTTTGATTCAATTTACCTAGTATATCTCTTTCTTGCGTTTATCGTATTTGTGCACATACAGAAACGAAATCATGAAGCTAAAAATGGTTGAGAAACAGTACTCACTTTTATCCCTCGAGTGCAGGTGAGAGGAGAGTACAAGCAAATATAATCATCTTGACACGAAGCGTAAGACGAAAACATTATTACTAACACGGTAAAGGTTACCAGTAGAACACAAACTGTATTGGAACTCATGCTGACGACTTGGAATTGGCTAGCTTACTTGTCGAATGTTCTCCTTAAATAAGAGTGAGAACCAATGCTGGTCTTTCACACACCTTAATTTATAGTACTTTCTTGGTAGAAGAATTTCATAAATTATTCAATTAAGTATATCTTTTGGTAAAATATAAGATAAGATATAAAACTTTTTATTCCTATTTTACATTTTTTTTTTTTTTTTCTCTCTCGCTGTTTAATTGAGCAAAAATTTATAAATTTTCATTAAATTCCATTGATAGGACTAAGGGTTTTTAGTAAATACTAACTACTGGGTAATTATATTTTACTTCAAGGCTACAAAATTGTCAATATTTATATCCAGTTAACTGGACATTATGATCACTTTGAGCAGCAGTAAATGAGGCCCCTTTGATAATCAATACTCATGAACTCTATTCAGTATCTATTTACCTCGCTTTTTCATTTAACGATCATATTGTATTAGAACTCTTTATTCAATAAAGAAATTAATTTAGAATACGTGTCGCTTTGGTCGTAGTTTCAGTCTGTTTTCTCAGCTGTCCGCCATGTTGGCTATCTCGTGAGAGAAACCGCTGATCTACGTAATATGCTACCGTTGGCCGCAAAAATCAAGGAAATTCTAGCAAATCATCTACGAGAAGAATTGGTTGAATGTTAAAACTTTTTTCGGAAATATAATAATATAAACTTGAATCATCACATTCCGGATTTAAATCATTTAGAAAAATAGGTTGGAAGAATGCATAAATCGTGCATATGACGTCATAGCCGCCATCCGAAATCACTCGATAATTCAAAATTTTATTAACGGGCGAACGCCACAAGAGACCACGGGGAGCCCACACATCCGAAACTACAGATACTTCGGATGGTAAGCCTGTGCTTATAAATGGCAATATCCAGTATGGCTTTATGCCGGCCCCGGGCCCCGGACACGTTACATGAAAACGGGGCATCGACTCCAGGACCAACAAGTTCAAAGAAAAAATATGGCATTAATTATGTTAAGAGGAATTTTTTTCAATAATGAGCAATAATGGCAAAAAGCGCCAAAAACTAGACTTTCGTATGAGTTTTGATCCAATTTTCGTTTTGAGTTAACACTCAAAACCTTTTTTAAACAGCTAGAAACTGATTTGGTATGATAAAATGCCTGTTTGAAGCGGTATTTTCAATTGTTCAAAGATCTTTTGTTGCATTTGTGTTAAAATGTTGCTTTGTCAGGTTTTTTTATAGAAAATATATGGGAAATCACAGGTAACCCAAGCTTGGTTTCTGTGGTGTCCTGTTATAAGGAAATGTATGGAAATTCATCAAAAATTTCAATAAAATCATTGAAACGTGAAATAAAGCCTCGAATTTTACCCGATCATTGAGAAATAGCACTTCTTTTGAACTGCGTGGTTATTTTTTGAATTTAGCCCGTTTTAAGATTTTTTTCCCCACCAGTAAGAAATAAGAGCTCTTATTTCTTACTGGTGGGGGAAAAAATCTTAAAACGGGCTAAATTCAAAATTCAAAATTTCACGTTTCAATGATTTTATTGAAATTTTTGATGAATCTCCATACATTTCCTTATAACAGGACACCACAGAAATCATGCTTGGGCTACCTGTGGGGAAATAAGCAAATGAAGGCCTAAACATCATTTTCGAATAATTTTTGCTTTGGGTTAACACTTTGATTCCACTTTCATCGGTCATCTCCACTTCCAAGCAAGTTAAACTTTCTGAATAACAAGATTTTAGCCTTGTACAACAGCCTTTCTTCAAGAAAATAGTTTTTGACGCTTACTGCTTGAATACGGAAAAAAATTCTCTGTTAATGCATAAGGAATATTGTTAGTTCACAATTAACATATATATACTTTCGAGCGGTCGGTTTATAAGTTATTCCAGCCGGTCGGTCGGTCGGTCGGTAAAGAATTTGGTCCATCACTCTGAGTCTTGAACGGGTTTTGAACCAAGCTTCTATAGTTACAGCAATTTTGCGCTTTTCGTGCCAGCTTACGAATTTCCCTTGTCCGGTAATTTACTATTCTGTAATACACCTTTTTCAAGAAACTCGGAAAGGAACAAAGAAAAAAAAAAAAAAAAAAAAAAAAAAAAAAAAAAAAAAAAAAAAAAAAAAAAAAAAAAGAATACGTTAGGATATTATCATGTTGATTGGCTAATATGACAAAAATAGATCAAACACCAGGGCCCGGTTGTGCGAATGGTGGACAGCGTTATCGGACGAATGAATCCGCCTTATCCAGTGTGGATAAGTCGATGCTGTTAGGTTTTATCCACCGGATACGATTTCTTCGTCGGATACCGCTATCCACCCTTGATACAACCGGGCCCAGCAGATGTTGATTTAGCCTGACTTTGAATGAAACTCGTTACAATTTACTGCGAGCGACTCGAGCTGCAGCCCGTAATTATTTCTGGCAAAGTTACCTTCTTTGAACAAAATGGCTTATATTAATCTTTAGTGCGGTTTTACAGGCTTACCATTTCACGTTTTGAACATCCAGGCGCTGAAGGCGAGTAGAGACACAGCCATGGATCTTGACTCGAAACTAGTTGCAAAAAATTAGCACGATAAAAAGTGCCAATGGAATCACGAAGTTCTTCATTCTTAATAATACCAACTTCAGTTTTCAARCTTCTTTTGGGTATGAATGGCTCGAATCAACACAAGTAACAAGAATTACAATGTGATGTGTTTAAATACTCGGTATTTATTACATATTCATGAATAAAGAATATCTGTTTGGCTTAAAAAAAACATAAGTTATAGAACTTTTCTCGAATTTATTCTTGTTTGATATCATGGCATTGTCCTTTCTAACGTGCTCATATTTTAAATGCTTTTTTTTTTTAATTTCTCGCATGCAGTTTAAAATTGAGCAAAAACTCATAAATTCTCATTAAATTTCATTGATAGGACTAAGGGTTTTTAGTAAATACTACTGGGTAATTATATTTTACTTCAAAGCTACAAAATCGTGGCATAACAATTTTATAAATTATTCAATTAAATATCTGTTGGGCGTAAAAAAGCATAAGATATAAAACTTTTCTCGAATTTATTCCGGTTTAATATCATGACATTGTCCTTTCTAACGTGCTCATATTTTAAATGTTTTTCTTTATTTCTTGCTGTTTAATTGAGCAAAAACTCATAAATTCTCATCAAATTTCATCGATAGCGCTAAGGGTTTTTATTTAAAACAAGAAGAAAAATAGAATAGAATAGAACAGAGTTATTTATCAACCTCCTTAGTACAGATTAAGTCTTTCGGATAATGGTCAATAAATTAATATGCTACATACATACAATGCTACATACAATTTTAACATATATATACATTTATAAAATATTTGAGATATAACGCGCGCGCTGATTGGCTGGCTATCGTGTTTATATCAGAGGAGAGAGACACGTTCGCACAAAGTCATTCAAAAATATTTTATAAACGCCTCGTGTTTCTCTACGACTTCTCTCTTGCTCTACAGCTCCCATCGTGTTTATATCACAGTATATAGACACGCGCGTCGTTTTATATTCCTTAAATACAAGAAAAGTGCATGCAATGTATATTTAGTTAACGCAAAATATCTTGTCGTAAATTGTGTATAGTGCGGATCAAGTGATGCTGTTGTTTCTTTTGTTAAAACAATAATGTATATATTTAGCTATGACTTTTTGGGTGCGTTTTATATAATTTACAAAAGCTTATCGTTATTATTAAGTGAGTTGAACTGAAATAAGTTCTATTGTTTATTACCGAGAAAGGTCCATCTCTTTCACACGTGTAGTAAGGACAAATAAATAAGAAATGAAATTCATTTTCTACGCCATTTTTACATTGTTTACATATTCTATCTTCGGGATTTTTGTAAGGTCGTGTATATCGTCCTCTCTCTATTTCTAAGCAATGATCACTTATTCTCAATTTTCTCAACTTATTCTATGTTTGATATTTTTGGCTTCTGTTGAATGTTCCTCTTGTTTGAAATCTTTTTTGAATATTCTGTAAGTTCTAAGTTTGTTTTTCTGTGAGCCCTTTCTTCCTGAATTTGAATTTCTTGATCCTCTATTCTTTGTGTGATAATTTTCATTATTTTTAGTATTTGATGTTCTGTTATTAATTCATTAATTTATTAAAGAAAATATATAGTCTTTAATCAATAATTAATAATAACAATAATCTCTAATCAATAATTAATAATTTTCAAATATTTATACATTTTTTCAAGATTGTAAAAAACGAATAGAATTTGTCCATTATTTAAATATGAATATGTTAATATATAATACTTACAAAGAAGAAGGAATTATAAGATGAAAAACTGACTAATAAGGAAAATTGAAATATATATTAAATATATAACTATGTATCTTTATCTAAAAATCTACGTTAATAAGCTAAAAATCTAAATTTATAAAATGGCGCTTTCAGCAACCTGAACGTCTAAGTCTATGTTGTTTATATCATTATAAGTTCTTTTTATAGTCCTTGAGCCTCGTAGACATACAAGTGCAGATCTTAACAGAGAGAAACAAGTCTTGGCCCTAATCCATGCCATTGTTTTGTGGTACTCTTCACCTTTCTTTCGGGCTATCAGTTCAGCAAGCCTGCTGTGATATGTTTTGCATTCTTTACTCATACCTCCTGTTGTACAAAAGACAAGGGGAGTAAATGTTCCATGTTAATTCATTAATGTTTTCTCGCCACATATAGCTAAAGCCTAATTTATCTACTCAAGCATGTTAAGGCCTGGGATTTTGTTCAAAAGGGCAAAAATTACTTTTCACTGTAGAATCCTCATTTTTAGATATAATTGAATGAGATTGCAACAGATATCCTTATTTAGGGTGCTTAACTTTTTGGATGAATAAATTTGCATAAAAGGTGGTCACGTGACCTTAAAAGAGGGAAATTGCTAAATTAAAAACTAGGTGATGGTTTTAGATTATTTGTGAGATTTGTTTAGCTTGTTTGAAAGTAGAAACAGAGATACAAATATTCATGTTTGGAATGGTCGACCAAAATGTTTACGAAAGGAGAAAAATGGGCATAAAG